AGCCTTGAATTCAAGGTGCATTTATGTGGAATAGTGCATTGTCAAAAAAACACTCTCGTCAGTCAAGATACACTCTTAAACAACAATAAACACATCTGCAGAATGTGGAATTGGTTAAAAGAAGAGCTAGGCTAGTGCAAGAGATAAGGTACCTTGGATAAGAAGTAATGATGCATTTCCAAAAACCATTGAACCATGAGCTCAGCCATCAACCATCATTATTCCTCCAAAAAAACTTATTTTCACCATGTGTAGATTATGTGAACCTTGTATGATGTTGTGATATTGTACATCCTTGTTCTCACTTGTTCTTGATACATTTTTCAAGTATATGTTCATATAAAAAGGTATGTTAAACTCTGTTTATACCATGAACTTTTGCTTGACTATTTTTGCCTTAACATGTGATGTTCCCTTCATGTTTATACCATGTTGATATGTATATATGTATTTGTGCTAATTATATCATGTTTGTGTGTTCTTATACACTTGAAATTTGTCTTGAATGTGCCTTTGAATACATACTTGTATGCTTAAACTCTTTGTGATTTTCTTACTTGCTTAAAACCATGTTTGAACCCTAATATCCATGTTTAGTTGTTACTAACTTGTCTTAACATGTTCAACTTGCATATGTGCTTAAATGTTCAAGTATTTCCTTCATAAACTCTCACCATGATGAATATATTTCTTTGTTTTATGCATACTCACATGTTCTTTCATTACATTTTCAAAACCTTTTGGGCCTCTGTTAGAGTGTAAGACCCATTACCATTTTCCCCCCAGTTAAGTCAGCCTCCTCTCAGGCAAATAAACTTTTTAACTTCACATCTTTGGCTTTGAACAAGATACAAATAAACTTTTTAGCTTCAAATCTTGGGCTTTGAACAAGATACAAATATGTTAGCTTCACATCTTGGAATTTGAACAAGATACAAACTTTTTAGTATCACATCTTGACCTTTGAACAAGATACTCAAGTAAATTAACTTCTCCCCAGAGATGAGACATTGAGTCATCTCTGCAGGAAGATATCTCTTCTATACACCATAGTTTAAAATCAAACATCAAAACTTTTTCTCCATATAAGTGATGTAAGTGGCACACTTGTTGATTCAAAACTCAAGCTGAAGTCCCTCTCTTATCATGGTCCAAAACTTTTCTTTCATCTAAGTGATGTAAGTGGCACACTTGTTGATACTATATCCAAGTTATGGTCATTCTCTTAGCATGAAAAAGACTCATAAAGGAAGATGTGACATTGCTTAGGATTATTTAACATCCAAGTTCAAAGCTTCTTCCCTTATGTCACTATTCTCAAATGTTTCTAATGAATAGGTGGGATATCTCCCTTTAGAATGAAAATTTTCCTTTTCTTTCAAACCAACAAAACTTTTAGCTTCACCATCTTGGGCTTTGAACAAGATACAAATTCCATCCATAGTTAGGTGGAACTATGAATGCTCTGATTTCTCAATTTTCTTTTAAGGACACGTAAGAATAAGATTGCGAGATCTTAGCGAGCATACCTTTAAATAAAACCCCTTAGGCCTCCATACCTTTCATAAAACAAAAACTCCCAAAAACATTTCATATTCTCATTTCACCCATAGGTTAAGACTTCCTCAATCAACAGTAAACAACTTAACTAGATGAAATGAGTGATAGTAAAAAGTGTATAAAAGATTCCTATAGAGTACTATAGATACTCAGGGTGTTAACAACTTCCCTTAGTATAACCAACCCCCAATTCCAGATCTCTTTGTATTTTTAGGGATAACACTTACATGCAGGGTTAGTTTATATTTATTCCCCTTCCTTTTAAGTATCATAGGATAAACATTAGAAATTCAAAAGTAGCATCAAGCACGGTTCACAGAAATCTCATCATCTCAGGATTGGGTAGGGTCACGGAAATCGATCCACAATATATATATATATATATATATATATATATATATATATATATATATATATATATATATAGAGAGAGAGAGAGAGAGAGAGAGAGCGCGACACACACACACACACAAGTGTGTGTGTGTGTGTGTATGTGTGTGTGCACGCGCGCGCGTGTGCGTGTGTGTCTATATATATATATATATATATATATATATATATATATATATATATATATATATATATATATATATATATATATATATATATATATATATATATATATATATATATATATATATATATATATATATATATATATATATATATATATATATATATATATATATATATATATATATATATCATACATATAACACATATAGAGTAGCATAGCATGTCAAATATAATACACCATAAATAGTTCACATATAACATTAAGGCATATAAGCCATTATTGTCCTCTATCAAGCATTCTTGGTTAATTCATGGTCTCGCGTCACCATGCAGTAGCCCATTGGATTATCTTTCCAAAGCTCCAAGTTTCATATAAATCGGATTTACGGTTCTTGAATTATGGCAGAAACAAGAACCGCGTATTCAATCAACCAAACAATAACTCATAATATATATCATCATTTTTCTATCAATAATTAACATATAATCATGTTTTTAGTTCACTATCTAATAGAGCGTTGAAAGAGCTTTCCAACTTCTCTAACCACGTCTAAAACGGATTTACGAAACTCATTTTATAGTGAAAATAGTTGGACCAATCGATTGCTGATAAGGACTGCTGATAAGGATCAATCGATTGTATGAAGATTTTGTCTAATTTTTCACTATCTGCAATGGACCAATCAATTGTTCCCTGTAGCCAATCGATTGTCATCATCAAAAATTCAAATTTTCTTCACTGTAACATGAACCAATTGATTGGTTCTGCAATGCAATCGGTTGTTCTATGCTATTACATCAAAATTTCATCTTTTAACCACATCAAACTCCATACTCAACTATTATAATCTACATCAAACCATATACTAACATGAATCCACACAAAAATAAGGAAAAACATGAGGTATAATTTCCTAGAACATAACACATGTGCAACCATGTTTCTTCACCACAAGAAATTAAGAGGCAACAACAACAACATCATGATATCAACACCACCACAACAACAACATAGCTTCCAATTCTTGGAACATGCATTCATAGTAACAACAACAACATCATCAACATAACACAAAACCCTTATCCATCACAATAACACTAACATGATAGTAAAAACAACAACAACAGAGAAACAAGAAAAACAACAACTTATAATCATGAACTTAATCAACAACACAAACATATTATTCATCATAATCAAATTTCATGATAACTTAAACAACACAAACCCTAACTTCCCAACCATGGATTATTCCTCCCAAAGCAAAATCTAACTATGGAAGCCACCTCGAAATGAAGATGGTGAACATCCATGGCCTTTTCCTTCTTCTTTCTTCCTTCCTCTTCTTCTTTTCTTTCTCTTTTCTCTTTCTCTTTCTATTCTCTTCTGCTTTTTCCCTTTCCCCACGTTTTCTTCCTCTTCTTTTTATCCTCATCTCTTCTTTTCATTTCTTATCCACCACATTATATATATATATATATATATATATATATATATATATATATATATATATATATATATATATATATATATATATATATATATATATATATATATATATATATATATATATATATATATATATATATGTCATACCCCAAATCTTACCCACAGATTTTCTGCATTTTCATATCATTTTAAGTCAGACATTTTTGAATTTACTTAGTTAAACATTTCATTGATCATTAATCATGTATTTTTAGTTTTTTTATCATTCCATTATAGAATTTTGTTTTTTTTTTGTTATCTTAAGGTTTATTTAGAATTGTTTAAGTTTAATTTTACAATTTAGTTTAATATTAATGTAGTTTATGTTTATTTATTTATTTTGTTCATTTTCAATGTAGTTTGTGTTTATTTATTTATTCAGTTTATTTTCAATGTAGTTTATTGTTAACTTTTTTTTTTTACTTAAGTATAATTTTTTTTAATTAGTTTAGCTTTAATTAAGTTAATTTATTTTAATTTAATTTATATTTAGTTCATATTTTAATTTATTTTATATTTTAATTTAGTTTATATTTTAGTTAAATTTCTAATCTAATTTAATTTAATTTAATTAGTTTTTTTTAATTAGTTCTTAGTGTATTTGGTTTAAGTACATTTAGTTTTTGGTTATTGCATTTCTTTACATCACCAAAGCAGTGCTCAAGAGTCCTTTGAACTATTTTGTTATTTTACAAAGTTACAAATATGATGATGATGATGATAATAATCATAATAATAATCATAATAATAATAATAATAATAATCATAATAATAATAATCATCATAATAATCATCATAATAATAATAATAATAATAATAATAATAATAATAATAATAATAATAATAATAATAATAATAATAATATAATAATAATCTTCATAATAATAATAATAATAATAATCATCATAATAATAATAATCATCATAATAATAATCATCATCATCATCATAATAATAATAATAATAATAATAATAATAATAATAATAATAATAATAATAATAATAATAATAATAATAATAATAATAATAATAATAATAATAATACTTTTTAATATTTTATTTTAATGTTATTTATTATATTTTTTCTTTCTTTTTATATATTTAAATTTTTGTTTTTTAAACTATTTTGAATAACACTTAATAAACAAGTTTAGAGTCAGATTTGTTTGGACTTCATTTTTGTGAAACCACCTACTCCTTTGTTACACAGACCCCACGTCCCCTACATTATTCTCTTTCTCTCTTTTAAAAGAAAACCAGTACAGCAGGCACATACATGTTTTTCCACTTCATTTCATATATCAAAAACAAAACAACAGATAATTAAAAAAAACAAAAAGCAGTAAAACACAACAAACTTCCATAACTCTCCACTACCATAAACCTGCTACTTATTTTCAATAAACTCATCAAACCATAACTCACCATATACTCCATTACTCACCTTCTTCCAAGACTTCCTGTTCATGAATACAAACAAACAAACACCCCTTTAGTTTCCTCACACCAAAACAACATTTCATCACCACGGCTTCGCCATCATCATTCGTCGACACCGCGCCACCGCCACGGTTCCACCCACATGAACTCATGGCTCTCGTCTTCCTTGTCTTCGGTTTCCATTGATGATATAGTGAAAGAAAGTTGAAAAATAGAACTAAGAGAGAGTGATCCACGATGATAGATTAGAAACGCACGAAAGTGTATTAGAAACAGTGTGGCTTTGCAATAAGGAGGAGGTCCGGTCCTTTCTTCTTTTTCCCTTTGGAACCTTGACCACAGTCAAGAGTTCTTCACCCCTGTTGAGGGGAACTACGGTTGCTCTGATTCCATTCCCGTCATGACACGTAGGCACGAGATGCAATGTCTTGGCGAGTATACTTTGTATATACTTTAGATCTTTACCTTAACACTTTTCCTTTAGCAAACACACTTTAGCATAACACAAATACTAACAAGAGGTTCCTGTAGAGTACTACAGATACTTAGGATGCTAACACCTTCCCTAGGTATAACCAACCGCCGTACCTTTGATCTCTCTTTTGCTTAACTTTAGGCCTTACTTTTTTGCTTTGCATTTTATTTATGGGTTATTCTTTTTTTTCCCCTTCCCTCGGATAAATTAAAGATCGGTGGTGATATTTTATGATTTGTGATTCAAGTTAATACAATAGCTTGATATCCGATTCTCACCACGACAATATATATATATATATATATATATATATATATATATATATATATATATATATATATATATATATATATATATATATATATATATATATATATATATATATATATATATATATATATATATATATATATATATATATATATATATATATATATATATATATATATATATATATATATATATATATATATATATATATATATATATATATATATATATATTATTGATACAAAATATCTCAATTGATATTTTGTCTCCTAGTACTAATTGACCAATTATTAATGTTACCAAAATATTCCCTCTTGTACTTATTAATAATGGTCAGTCTCTTTTAGTATTGATTGATCTCTTCAGACTTCACTGATTACTCTATTAGTCCCAAATAATAAAATTTAGAGCACTTAAGATCACTAATTGTTCCAACTGACACAAGATAGAGTACATAGGAACTCAGTTGGTCTCAACTGACACCCAATTGAACATTTAAGGGGATATGGGATATTACATTCTCCCCCCCCCCCCTCTTAAATTGAAATTGTCCCCAAATTTCCCCTACTCAACAAATAACCACTCCTTGCATCACCGTCCTAAGTCAACACTTGACTTTGCTTTGATTTCAAACCTCTGGGATTTTCATCTCTCTAACTTATCTTCCTTGGCAAACTTCCTTCTTTTGTGAATTCTTGATACTTCACGGTCTTAACCATATTATCATTTCAATATCTAATTAACTTCTAATCTTGGTTCTATTTAATTCATTTAACATGTCACTCTGAATCACCTGATCGCAACTCCCTCCGAAAACCACGAATTCCTTCCTTGCACTAAGTTAACCAAAACCATAACCACAACATCCTATTATGATCGGATACCCAACAGTCTCGAATCTTTGTAGTGTTAATCAATGATCCTTACCTACAAGTAATACTGATGACTCTTTTCAAGTAAATCTTTCAACACTCGCAACAAGTCTTATAACCAATATATTGATATTCTTATCAACTTCACTTGACCTGATATAATGTACTACCTGCGAACTACTCCAAAAAGATGTCATGCATCTAGTATAGGATTATCTTACTTCATTCCTCCATGAAATTGTAATATGTTATTTTCACTCATCACTCTTTACTGTGCAATCCAAACTTGAATACTGATGAACACATGGGATTCACAAGTACTGCTGGTTGGTCTATAGTCTCCATAGATAACACATACACCCTCCATAGCGCATACCATACAGAACACTACTAGAACCTTACCGACATCCATTAGTAGAATAACTTTCTGGCCTACAAAAATTTAGAATAGGATCAATACCCTCCAATAGATAGATATGCAGTAGTTACACGACTACAACCATAAAAGTGTACAACCTTCAGATTTATCTTGTGCTAGAAGCAACTTATCCAAATTAGTTTGACAATATCCGGTTCCGGTTACTATACCCCATATCGAATCCTCTTATAAGGCCCTGATTCATTCAAGTCTTCTATTGACACAGGATCTCAACCAATAACAACATAATACCACCAAGGAATTTCAAATCATCAACGAGACACCACTTCCAAAGAGCTTAAGCAAATCTTAAACTTAATTGTGAGTGTCTATACTACTCACTGATTCGCACACCATACTTCGCACATATCTGAGGATAACATTGCATTTCCCATCTAAATTCATTCCTCTCAATTATCCTGTTCCATTTCCCAGAATTCCAGCTTGTGTTCCCTTTCACATATGATCTAAGTCATATGCTTACATTCAAAAATTTCTCATTCTCACTCCTTCTTGGAAGTACAACTCAAGACTTCCTTGCTCAGGTTCCACGAACCCAAGACTTCTGCTCATACTCTCAAGTACAATACTTCTGCTTAGACTCACAGTCTAAGATTTTTTGCTAAATCAAAAATTGATCAAGACTTTCAATGCTCTAGCACATAGCAGAAGACTTACTTGGCTCAAGCTTCTCAGCAAGAGACTTTGATGCTCAAGCACATAGCAAGAGACTTTATCTAAACTACTAAATAACATGTTTAGCATAATAGAGAACAAGGTGTACTTGATACAAGATCAGAGATACGGGGTAATCACCTTAACAATGACCTTAAGTACTTAAGATTTCTAAGATATTGAATGTTTAAGAAATCTAAGGCTATGTACAATTTACAACATATAAAATAATTTCTTCATACTTGATTGTGTTGCTTATTGTTGATCTTGTTATTCCTCCATACATATAGGAGTGTAAAGCACTCTCATCCATCTAAGCTTTCCTTCTCTATTTTCTCTTTGTTCCTTATTAAAGATTTAGTTTGAATCTTCAGCAGCTTATATAACAGTTGTAAAAGACTGCCTGTTGGAAGAGATAACTTGAACAAGTGTCTTTGTTTTTCATAGTACAAGAGACATTGAAGATAGATACACCAAAAAATATTAATTCATTGGGTAACGTGTTTAACCATTGCATCTTCCATGTAATCTTGTACTATAGATCCGTTGAGAGTGGATATCTGTAAAGCATGTTAACTCTTCTTAAGCCTTGATAACATAGACTCTAGCTGACAAACTGATTTGACAATGCAGCTTGCTTTCTGCAGTACATATAACTTAAGCTTTATTATTAACTCTGAATGTTCACCAGAAGATGATACATTAACCATGTGTAGAGACAATATGTTACTCTTCTGGTACTGAGGCCTTCAACTTCAGAGTCTACGGTAGACATCACTTAGAGAGTGTTGTCATATCCCAAAATTTAGCCTTAGATTCTTTGATCTTTTGCATATCATTTTAGGTCAATTATCTTGCATAATACCCAATTTATCAGCTGAAATAAACTTGTTGGAGTTACAGCGGACCGGTCAAACCCAAAAGTCAACTGTGCGTAAAATCAGTGGGTGGAAAATTTCAAAATTGAGCCTGCAAAGTCAGTCATATTGATCTATGTTTCACGTAGTTTAACCTGGCGTACTCATTTAAATTTTTTGACAACTTTTCGGTCGCATTTTTGGATAGTTTAAGCCGTTTTAACGGGTAAAATTTATTTCAAAATTTGACCAAACGCTATATTTTTCTCAATCGTATTTTTTTGTTGATCACATCACTTTTTTTTCGAGCACTTCAATACCAGTCCAATTACTCGTTTTTACCGTTTTTATTTTCTATTTTTAATTAATTATTCTTTAAATTAATCAGATTTTTTTATCTAGTTTATTTTAATATTATTTATTATTTTTTTCTTTCTTTTTATATATTTAAATTTTTATTTTTTAAACTATTTTGAGTAACAAAACCAGTACAGCAGGCACATACACGTTTTTCCACTTCATTTCATATATCAAAACAAAACAATAGACATAATTAAAAAAAAACAAAAAGCAGCAAAACACAACAAACTTCCATAACTCTCCACTACCATAAACCTGCTACTTATTTTCAATAAACTCATCAAACCATAACTCACCATATACTCCATTACTCACCTTCTTCCAAGACTTCCTCTTCATGAATACAAACAAACAAACACCCCTTTAGTTTCCTCACACCAAAACAACATTTCATCACCACGGCTTCACCATCATCATTCGACAACACCGCGCCACCGCCACGGTTCCACCCACATGAACTCATGGCTCTCGTCTTCTTTGTCTTCGGTTTCCATTGATGATATAGTGAAAGAAAGTTGAAAAATAGAACTGAGAGAGAGTGATCCACGATGATAGATTAGAAACGCACGAGAGCGTATTGAGAAAGAGTGTGGCGTTGCAATAAGGAGGAGGTCCGGTCCTTTCTTCTTTTTCTTTTTTTTGGTAATTTACTCTTTTTTTCTCTCATTTAATCTCTTTGTGAAAAAAAAAGTCAAACTCTCATTTAATTTGTCATAGTTTTTAATATTTTAAAATAAGTTATGGTTAGTTATTGTTAATTATATGTATTGTTAATTACCTTAAAAAAATATGGTGTTCATACTTTGTGTTTAAATATAGTGCTCGTATGTTGTTATTGTTATTATGTAAGTAAGTTCTATACATGTTTTGTTTTTTGTTTTAGATTAAATATGGTGTTCATTCTTGTAAAAATAGCATCACGTATCATGTACCATCATTGTGTTTCAAGAAAGAAAAATAATTTTATTTTATTAGTTATCTTATTTATTTCATTTTAATTTGAAAGTATATAAAAACGGTATAAAGATATTTAAAAAATAGCATGTTTTACTTTGGTTATTTGTATTATTATTTAGTTGTTTAAAATATTTATATTTCTGGTCTTTATTTTAAATGTTCTTTTTTTATTTTTTTTAATTTATTTTGGTTCTTAAGAAAAAAAATAAAAAGAGTTTGTTTTAATTATTAATTATTTTAAATATTTTTACTTAATATAATTAATTAAATTATTAGTTAATTTTATTAAATATTAATGTTTAATTTTGTTAATAATTCTTTTGTTGCCTAATTCTATTTTGCGGCTTGCTTGCTTCCATGTCTTGGCAAGCTCACTAACAACTAATTTTCTGTTAACATTTGCAACTTAGGTTTGGAGTCGTCGTGCTCTAGGTAGTCGTCCCGCCGTGGATATTTTCTCATGTTTATTTTTGTCATAGGACTTGGAGTCGCTGTGCTCTATTTAGTTGTCCCGCCGTGGACATTCCCTTCCTTGCTAACTTAACCTTAGGTTTAGAGTCGTCGCACTCTATGTAGGTGTCTCGTCGCAGACATTTACTTTTCCCTTTGGAACCTTGACCACAGTCAAGAGTTCCTCACCCCTATTGAGGGGAACTACGGTTGCTCTGATTCCATTCCTGTCAGGATACGTAGGCACGAGGTGCGATGTCTTGGCGAGCATACTTTGTATATACTTTAGATCTTTACCTTAGCACTTTCCCTTAGCAAGCAACTTTAGCATAACATAAATACTAACAAGAGGTTCCTGTAGAGTAATAAAGATACTTATGATGTTAACACCTTCCCTAAGTATAATCAACCCTCGAACCATAGATCTCTTAGCTGTGTTGTTACATAGCGCACTCAGGATTTTCTTCGATTTTTACCATTTCCTTTGGATAAATCAAAGCTCGGTGGTGAACTTCATGATTTGTGATTCAAGTTAAATCCAATAGCTTGATGTCCAATTCTCACCACAACAAGTGTTCAGATTCCGATCCACTAGAAGCTAGTAACTCAGCTTCTCTCAAACGTGTCCTTATATCAGATTCTGAATGCATTCTTTTTAAGGTTTAGAACCTGCATACTTGGAACACACATTAGATAACACCATTGTTCTTTCAATACTTTGTTGTCGTCAAAATCCAAGAAATATATGTCATGAACAAATCTTATTCTAACGCATATCACAAATCATCGCCCTCTAGAGCATAAACAAAGGCTTGGAGGACAATTGTTTTGAGTCATTCACAAGGCTGAAAAGCACGGAAGCCCAATAACAGGAAATGGAAAATGGTAAAGTGCATAACAGGTTGACTCTTTTTCCTTACCAAACAAGTAAACTTTTCCACAAATTATGTCCTGGTCGCACAAATCAATTTGACGATTGAACGAATTTTATACCCTCTCACATGTGTTTAGTTGCTAACTAATTCTCCTACTTAAAGAAGGGATTGGGTCATTTCTCAAGTATTCAAATCATTATTCATTCAAACTTCACTTCTTACTCCATTACATACTTGAAATTTGAAGTGCTAACCTTGGAGATCATCCCCCTTTCCACTGCAACAGAAGGCTTAAACCATCACAATACACTGTGAATTCAACCTCTCTGATAATCATCTAGTTTCAAAGCAGGAAAAATAGGCACAATAGTTTTTAACAATGAAAAAAGAGTCAATTTGAAATATCATAATCATCATCAAATGAAGAACAAAGATTGAATCAAATAAAAAGGTGAGAAGTTTCTAGTGATTGACTCAAAAGAATCAAATTCTAAAGAATTTCATCAAAAAATGGCTTCTTTTCCTAAAATCTACATGCAATCACATGCTCTGTTGTTTTATTTTTCTAAGATAAAAAATTTAATATTAAGTGTGTTGCTCTCAATATGCTAAAGAAACACAACACACGCGTGCATGCACGCATACACACTCACAGACGCATGCGCGTGCGCGCGCACACACACACACTTGTAATTGAGAAAGTTTGCAATTTCCCGTTCAAAATTGTAGTTGAGAAAGTTTTTAGAATTTTTCTGTTAAAAAATGTAGTTGATAAAAGGTTTGCAATTTTCAGCTCAAAAATTGTAGTTTAAAGAGAGTTTGCAATTTCTCCGTTCAAAAGTTACAATTTGGAGGGTTGGCAATTTTTTTCTTAAAAATTGCAATTGTAAAAAATTGCAATTGTAAGTGTCATACCCCAAAGATTTGTCCTACCTTTCTCCATTTTTATCTAGCTCATGATCTTCACTTCACCTGCATATTCATAATCATTTAGGACATTCATTTACAATTGCATTTTCAAATAAGCATCGTTGATTCAAGGTTTTTGCTAATTATGACACAAGGATATGGATCAAGCCTTGGATCTCTCTATGTTATGTCTTAGCTAGATTGGCACTACAACTAATGGTTGATCTTGCTCTTGGATCCTAATATTTGTATGATATTTTAGGTCAATATGCACTACATCATAGCATTAAAATTGATTATGGATTGCAGGTTTTACTTGGTCAACCATGAGAATTTAACTTTGATTGACTAATCTCTTCATGGGCTTGTTCAATACTCTAGTCCATTGATTATTTGGTTTGGATTTAGGACAAGGCATTGCAATGCAAAATTCATACAAAACTCAAGATGCATGTTCAGAAGTCATTCACATTCATATTCAAGTACAAGATCAAATTCAAATTCAACTTTTGGAGGGAAACTATTTTTCTTAAAAGACAAGTCATAATTCATTCAAAAATGCCATTTTTTCATTACAAGTCATCAAACCATGTTACAAAATCCAAATCATGTAAGTCTATACAAACCTATTGCTGACTTTTGGTTAACTGTTGACTTTTTGGTTGAATAGTTGACCAAAGTCAACTACCTATCCAAAATCCTATCCTATTTCTTCTTCATTCATAAGCCATTCTATTTTTTTTTTCAAAATCCTTCATAAGTCTTGATGTGTCCAGGGTCTTCTTCATAGGTCTTGATGTTGCCCAAAGTGTCCTCATGGTCCATATGATGCCTTGCCAATGTTAATAAATTCCATGTCATATGCCAATCCTACAACAATGACACCACCATACAATACCATGCACACAAGCCATGTATAGACACACATCAACTCAAATCATACACAATCCAACATGACATGACCTACACAATCCATATACCACAATACACCTGCACCTGATAACATCTCAGCTGCACAGAAATAGTTCCATTCCATAGCCAATTCCAATCCACAACATTCAATCCAAAGCACACTGATCAATACAGAAAAAATGCTTTCCAAAAAAACATTAGCTGATTTCTAGATAGAAAACTCATGAATACAGTTGTGATGCAATCAAGTTTGCCAACATCAGTAGCAATGCTATCTGATGCTGCCATCACTGAAAACTTTTCAGTCACTTCCAAGACGTGAAGACCCACAGAAGCGCTCAATTTTCTTCCCATAACTCAAACATAACAACTAATTCACCACCAACACTTAACTAAAGCCCTCATAACAGCTCAGTTGTTTTTGAATTTCCAACTTACTAACATTTTTCCATCTCATTAACAAATCCTTTCTAAAACTTAACAATCTAACTCACAATTCAAACTAACTAATAATAGCTCCCTAATTCTAACATAACATTCACCAACTCCAAGTTTCAACACCAACAACATTTCCACTTTGATAACAAAATCATTTCCATAAATAACTAGTTTTCAAACAACAAATCAAACGAACCTGTTACGCCGCCATTCACTAACATTTTCCATTTCAAAACTTCACTAACTGTTTTCATCAAGCCAATTCTCCAAGTCAATCACAGTTCCGAGCAGTTAACTGTCAACTTCTTAACTCAATTTAATTCAACTATTTTCAATTTCAAACTAACACTAACCTAGTTGTTTTTTCACATCCATTACAATCTAACTGTCAGGTATAAGTTCATTTTCTTTTCTAACATCCAAACTAATTTCTAATTCAGCTAACTCATTCACATCAAGTTCACGGTCTCGCCGGTAGGTCTTCCTCCTCTTTCTTCGTTTGCTTCAATTTCTCCACTATCATGTAGCTCGTGTTGAGGGGAATCAAAGTCCCAAGGTGGAGTGAATTGATTCCTCTCCGTGTTCGTTTAATTTTGATTTTAAACTTTAGGGTTTTTGGTTAACTTAGAGCGGTTTGGAGGATTTTAGGGGAATGTGTCCAAACAGAGGAGAGATTGAGAGAGGAGACATTAAAACAAACATTTCGATGGTGTTATTTGGTTGATTGAACTAACACTTCCGCCTCCCGCACGGCGGAGCAGGATGCCGGCAAGGCAAGTGTTTTAAAGGCTTGAAATGAAATTGAAGAGTGAGCATGACTTTTGCTGATACTTCACTCTCCCTTTAGCATCTCGTTTGGGCTCAAACCCTTAGGCCCATGGTATTATTGCTATATACACGACTGTTTCTATTCCACACCTCC